AATTGTATTGCACAAAATGGATTTTTTCTGAATTAAACTAAGAGATTTCTTCAAAGTTTCATTACGCGCATCAATTTCACACCATTGAAGCTTTCAGTAATATGGTGTATTATGGTGTATTATGCAGTCTCATACAATGAAATTGTTCATATTCTATAAGGGGCTCTCTGAGATGACATTATACTGCAACGCCTGATGTTTGTATGTTAGCGTATCAGTTTAAACACATAACAAGAATCAAATGTCAGATTCTTACGATTTCTACTGTATTTATCTGCCTTTGCAACATACAAAATACTTTATCCATGGAAGTGTTTGATTTTGATATTGTTGCCAATATCAAACTGTAAATGAACTGACATGATTCAAACGATCACTTGTTTTCTATACATAGCTGTGAAACTTCAGAGTTCTGCATTCTGTGTTTTTCAGGAATACATTTATATATTTATTTATTTTATTTCACACTCCTTCAAACTGTGAGCTTGAAAGCTGTTCTCTACAATTACCTTCTAACATTTAGTTACTACCACACACAATCACGATAACAATCATTCAAGTATCCGATAAAATACAGATCGAAGTGCTTCCTAGTATCTGATTGATAGTTTAGTATCATTGGAATAGTTTTCAGGATTTTCAAAATTTCATTTTCATGTAGGTACATACACAGCGTTAAATCAGTAGTCAGATGGAGTTAGATTACCGTTTGAGTATGTATTCTGTGGATACAGTTTGATACTAATGGAGCAACTGACCAACGTCAAATGTCGCGCAGCAATCAATTGACGATGGAGGTTATCCATCATTGAATCTGTTATGACCTCTTGTAGAATAATATCTACAACCACATTAATCGCTCATCAAATGTCATATCAATACACTGTCACTATATGTTTGCAATGATCTGAGCCGAATTTTCCAATATTATTCAATCAAGCAACATGAATTTGAACACAAGTTCACGACATAGGATTTGTGAATACAATTACAGTTTATTACCATTGAAACAGCAATCAGTTGTTAAATTGTATTCACCAATCACAATAGAGAGAGTGATAAAAAATAAAATTTGAAAAATCGATCGAATATATATATTTATATATTTGATTATTCCACTCGAATAACATTTCGATAACGAGCATCAACTCATAAGGTGTCTAAGGATTTCTGAATATCTGAATAACCCTAAATATCAAAGCTTCACATAAAAATAAAACACCTTATTTTAAACGATATCTGAAATATGTGTTCAATATTTGCAGCTATCAACAATCATTTATGTATCTATATAAGCGTATCACCCTGAAGAATATTGACTGTTCCATTTCACACTTGAAAACTAATCAACAATCAACCGTCTACTGAATATCAATAAGTAACTTGAACTATACACAAGAAAATGGATGAGTGGTAGTGGGGTTGAAAACAAAACATTTACGCCACAACTACAATTCTATTTCTCCATTCAGTTTCCTTGTATGATTACAACGTGAGTGAAGTGTTAGACGTTATTTTCTTAAATTCCATAAATCGAATGTTAATAAATGTTCACTTTAGTACTCTCATTTTGTTCACATCACACTGAGTTCATGAATAACAGTAGGTTTCATGATGATTTGCTGTATACTGTATTTGGACATGAAAATGAACAAACTCACCTGATTGTTTTACCCTAAATGGAACATATGACGCAGACCAGCGTTCTGCAGCGCATTTTGTCCTGAAACTTCCTTTGCATTTACACCCGATAATATAAGAACAATAATTGTAGGTGTAGACTTTACGGTAACGTTGATTAATGTATAAGTGAAATGAGAAATTTTCATCTGTGTTATTTCATGCTGTGAGTTTGTTAGGTCGATCATTGATATCAGTAACACTCAACAATCGCAGCAAATTTTTATACTGAAAATTAAAAATGTAATTTGTGCGAATTCAATGATGATCGTATTCGTCAACTTATTGATCCTGAGGAAGGTGAATTCTCTTGTGCCAAGTCTACATGATATACAGTTCTATGACTTTTTGTAAAACAGTGTTGCCATATTGAGTGTTAAGAGAAATGTTTGAATGAATTGAATGTTGCTGACTGAATGACAATCATATTCCCGTTCAAGAAAAGTCTGTTTCTACAGAAAATACTATTGATAATTATATCATCAACATTTCAATTCGAAATAATAACTTACAGTGTATGCACGTTTCCTCACCACACATTGTCAATTACTAAACGTCGAAAATAAGAGTAACAATTATGCGTAATCAACTGCAAACGCAGCAAATCATTCATGTATGTCGGCTTCACTTTTATTCAATTTTCGATAGACATCAAATAATGGTAGGACACCAGTTTCACAGAAATGTGCTCTAAATTCCGATTAATAGAAATCGCTTCAATCAAGGTGATTCCCAAATTTGATTGTTGGTTATTTCTGCAGTAAAGCTATATAGTATGTGTGAAAATAATTCTCGTTGAAATCGCTTTAACATTTTCAAGTGCTTTAATTCAGAATTTGTGTCTATTGGTTTCTTTCAATAATCAACGAAAGTAAAGGATTGTGAAGATTGGCGATTTTTATTAAAATTACGAAATGATCAATCGCAGCCTACTGTTGGAATTTCTAGTAGGACACTCAAAATCAATGAGCATTACTCACCCTCAGCAGTGGATTTCAATCGGTGAGGTTATTACTCATCGAAGACAATGCAGTCAAGTCATAAGATTACACAGTTGGATGTCAGTTCAGTGGTCAAGATGTTAAGTAATCATGGGCGAGACCAACGATGCTAGAGTCGATTCCTTACTGCTGACTCATGGATATACACTGCTAATGAGTCCCATGCTGAGATGAAATGGCCATGCGCGACTTCCAGATTTCCACTAGTGTTGTTGGAGTGGTCATGAAAATTGTTTTAATTTGGAATCCCACAGCTTTATTTCCTCATAATTCTATATTTTATAATAAGCGTTTTTTTACAGTATAATTGTTGAACATAACCATGAGTAATGATCATGATAACACTGGAGTAAAATGAACAATAAACAATCGTTTTTAATTATTAGAAAACGTAAGATGTTGTTTCAAAACTGACATAATAATCCAAGATTTTCATGCGAATGATCACTTTCGTATGTTATTTTCTATAGTACACTAAAACAGCTAGTAAAATTTAAAAAAACCCTATTCACCTCATCATTGCTGTCATATGTGTGAATCGATATTTGAGAGAGATAACATTTCTTATCCAATTCAATGCTACTATTTTGAACTCTAATCAACTAAACAAAACTTGGCTGACCTACTAGAATTCATCCAAATTCAAAACGAACATGATGAATTGATCAATTTGTAATGAATAATCACACATTCCAACTGAAAAAAAATCATCGGAAAATATGTGATACACTTATTTATGTGTGATAAAAATTGAAAAAAAGGTTGATGCCTAGACAAAAACTTGGTGGTTTCTCATTGATGGTTTTGTAGGTTAATGCATTTATTCTTTGTAAGATTGAATTGATTATCTAGTCAGGCCATACTTTTTTTTCTATCTTTGAATTAATTGCATAAATTCAACTGAATTATTTGTTTAAAGTTTTTATCATTTTATTGACTTTTGTTGAAATATTGAAAACTGCGTAAACACATCAAAATCTCTAGGTTATATTGGAGGCACGAAGTTATTTTGTGAATTTGACACGAGATAACAAGGAGAGATCACGTTTGTTAACATAGTGTTATAACGGCTTAGTAAAACATTTGTTTCACAGAGCGTAATACTTTCTTTGTTCAATACACTATTGATGTTATCTTCAGTGTGACTTTCGTTGCAGATAATATCCTTGGTATTCAGTTATTTTTGAATGCTGTTTACGATCATATGTTGGATACATTTTCACGCAATAACCGTTTTGTGTCTTTTAATTGTGGGACTAATCAGCATTGAGCATTTCTGACCGTCAGTAGTGGATTTCAATCGGTGAGGTTATTACTCATCGAAGACAATGCAGTCAAGTCATAAAATTACATAGTTGGATGTCAGTTCAGTGGTCAAGATGTTAAGTAATCATGGGCGAGACCAACGATGCTAGAGTCGATTCCTTACTGCTGACTCATGGATATACACTGCTAATGAGTCCCATGCTGAGATGAAATGGCCATGCGCGACTTCCAGATTTCCACTAGTGTTGTTGGAGTGGTCATGAAAATTGTTTCAATTTGGAATCCCACAGCTTTATTTCCTTATAATTCTATATTTTATAGAAGCCTTTTCTCTTGATCTGTCGGAAATCTGTCATTATCTGGTTTGCATGTTAATCTTACTTTCATGCATCTCGGTGAATAACCATTTCCGGTTATTGTTTGTGGATGTTGATTTATTAGTCGTCTATTATTTTATCAAAATTTTTAACCATATTTTCCTGGAAGTAAATAATGTGAATTATGACTCTCCTTCCACTCTTAGTAGGAACTATTTATAGATAGATATCTGTATGCTGACAATAACTACTCAAAAATTTCGTTAAAACAAACTATCACACAATTTCCTCAATATATCGATGCAATGATGATATTCACCTTGATTTCCTAATGTGAATAGACATTGGAAGCGAATGAAAATACAACTATATCAATGTAAGGATTTCGTTACAAAGAAAGCTTTACTAACTGAATTCTTTTTTTACTTAAATTCAATATACTTAGTTTCTTGCCTTTCCATACATGTAAAACATGTCCATTTGGAATAAATGTAATTTTCTGTTATAAAAACATAATTATAGGATTTCATATGAATTTCATATTTTTATCATTAGAATGAGAAATTTAAGGTCAAATCAGTTAGAGATTTGTAAGTACAAACTGTATAATATGAACACTAAACGCCTACGTTAATTAATCAGGTATTTAAAGCAGCTTATTTAACAACCTATTTATTTATTGAGTATACACTTTTTCTCCAACAGATCATCAAAAAAACGTTTCCTGTTTCAATTAATGTTACAATACTTTACGCTTCATGCTATTATTCAACTACTCATTCTCGGTGAAAATGATGCGACGAGTTCGGTCGCATTAACGTCAAATGTAGTTTCTTATTTTATTCATAAATCAATTGCAGAATCATAAACGAAACTATGACCCTAATTTAACACGTAGTGGTGAATTTATTGTTGGTAGTGATTTCCGTGTTCAAGTTGTTTTAAGTGAAGATTTGAAAAATCACTTACATTATGATACCTTCATGGTAAGTTTATTATTTGAATCTCAAACGTGAAACAAGTGATTTTTTAAAAATGCTTGTGTTATTATGTTGTTAAAAATGTATCAAATTGTGTAATACGTTTCACTTACATTTTATTTGAATATATGTACCTTGATATAAAAGTTACCAGTGTTCTTAACTTGAACTGCATGTTTACGTGTAGTTCATGAATAGTTACGAGACTTTAAATGCAATCAAATAACCTATGGTGATATATTTGTATAGTGTGAATGGTATTTATATTGCAGAACCATAAAATAACGATTCATGGATTTCGATGATAAGTTTATTTGAAACACAGAATTGGAGATCGTTTACAGAAATATAAAAATAAGAATAGTTCAGCGAAAAGGTTTATTTCAACGAGTTCGTTTTCAGATGTGTGCTATCGAGAGATCACAGAAATCTATAAATACACATTCTGTGCCCATAATCCTAGTAGAACAATGATGCTATTGTTCAATTTTAATTATTTTGGGTCATTTCGTTGTTGATATTCTGATTGAAATTTATTCAGTCTTGGTTGGTACATGCAGTAATCGAAACCATTGCAAAAGGAAATACATTTCATACCCGTTACACAAGTAAGTGGCCATCCGGACTCATTAGCTGAACAGATAATCCGAAGGTGTTTTAAGCAAACAGTACTGGTTGCGAGTGCTGACGTTATCGTCGACTGTGAGAGGTAGTTACATAAAGCCTATGAGTCTCAAATAGGACAAAACGCAAATCCTGTATTCAAATGCTAAACAAGTTTGATATATTCCATATAAATGATGTACTATGTATGACTGAGAATTAATACTCAATGAAAATATTCTTACTTCTATACAATGGATATGAACTGCTTAATTGTTGTCTTAATACTAACATACATTCTATTTTTCACTTAAATACTGCTTTCGTCAGTCTAATTTATGTTTAATTCTTTAACCATGATTCATTTTCTGTTGAAGTGTCATTTTAAATTATTTAAAATACGATAAAACGTTAACCTGTCTACCAATTTCTACATAATATTTGATATTTATGATTCTTTATTTGCTGAATTATAATTGAGTGGTTTTTACATTGCAGACAACAGTTATAAGTGCTTTGAAATTTTGGACAAATGCTTTACAGCCTAAATTACGAAATAAACAACCAATTTTAATAAAACGGTTAGTTTGCATTCAATGTAAAATTAAATGATCCATAGTGAATTTGTGTGTAACTGTATGACATGATAATGAGACAAGTTAAATTCATGAAAGCATTTACAGTTGATGATGATAATATTTTAACTGTTGCGAGTTGTAAATGTTTTAAAAAAAAATTGTTTATTGATAATAACACAAATTAAAAGGAATACATAAATGTTTGTCTTTGACCATTTGATGAATTTTCAGAAAGACTGTTTATTGTCGAAATCCACTTAACTCATCCCAACCTGATTACTCGTATTCCTGTAAGACCGAATGCGCTGAAACAACAGATTGTGCGGGTGTTATTATCCCGAAACATTTTCTTCAGGTTAGTAATTTTATTTTAAAAAAAGAGCCAAGTTCTTTTTATCATTTCAAAATATTTGATGTGGCGGTGGACTGCGTTACACTGAATCTAAGTAAGTATATATTCGACCGATCGGAATCCTAAAATTAATTTACTCGCTTATGCAATGCAAAAATCTCAGATGAACATAAAATATGTATCTGAAACTGGGTTTATTTCTATTTTCTTGTCTATGACACGTTTTGAAGGTTGGTGACAAAGTCTTGAAAAAATCCCTTGCTATTAATTTGAAATGACCTCAATTTCATATACAACTACTAACTATAATTCAAGTGATTATTTGGTTCAATAATGAACAACTTCGCAAGGAAAATAAATCGATTTTGAAAATTTATCAAGAAATACCTTTGTTATTAATATCTCATGTTTCCGATAGCTACGGATAGCTGACTTTAGTTGACCATTGCTCAAACTGACCGCAAAAATTTCTCTGCTAGTATCACACACACCATGAAGGAATTTCCCACATATTCTATGTTGTCTGTAGATTGTAGTTCAACTTAAAATATACATTTATAGTGAATCTTAATTATAATTGATTCTTGTGGGATGTTCATAGTCCAATGATTCTTATATTACTGTAGATGAATTTACAAATAAAACAAAAAAACTTTTCGTAAAACGACGTTTTGGTACGAAATACAATAAAATGTGCTTGCCGCAGACATCAAGTTCAATTAGATGATGATCATGAAAGTTTGTTATAAGGCTTTGTTTATTTCCACTCTAAATACCTGACCAAAATTATTCCATTAGGCTTCAAGACAACTCAAATTAAGAACTGTTGATTAGTGTGTGTGCGTATACTAATCAACAATCAGCAAATAACTTATATTAATACGAAAGGTAGAGAATGCATGTTCCATTTCAAATATCCGCCAGACTATTTATCAGTCTATCATAGTAAACGACCAGTCACGCTTACACAAGAAAAGTCATTCGCATTCATAAACTTCATCGGCTTGATGAGATAATTCAAGTAATGATAATTACAATTCTATTCAGTTATGTATTTAGTGTAACGAGGCAGTAAAAAATCAGTTTAATTCTAACGGAATTGATGTTGGAATAATGTTTTAATACTGATTAGTTTTACTTCACTTTATTCTACGTACAAGTCACTGAGGCTTGTTTTAAACCGGTTATATGCATTTTCTCAGAACTGTAGAGATTTATGACAATCTAAATGGGAAAGTGTTCTGTCAGAAGCCCAAATTGTTAGCATCAATGAATTCAAAAACTGTATATAGTAAAAACATCAAACATATGATAGTGGTAAACTGTAGTGATAAGAAGATTGCTTTATCAGCAATTACTTCAGAATGAAAAGATAAAACCAGATGACAATGAATTTTTCGGTTGTTTAATTTTTTTTGGCATTACAACAACCGCTTTCATTGGATTTCATTTTCATATAGCACACACAGAACGAAACAAAACATTTAACATGCACATAAATGATAAAGTATGCTAAATCATCGAAACTACGATATGCATATATATGTAAACTATTATGAGTCCATCGTATAACAACTGTCTATTTTACGGTATCAGCACATATTAATACTAAATTCAGTAATTGTTATCTTTTTCAATTTATGTTTGTTTCGAAACTATGAAGGATTGTCACTTAGATGAAATTAATCCAGTAAAGAGGAATAAAAAAAGCCAACCTTCGGCAAGTGATTTTCTTCTGTTCATCAGTTCGAATAAACAACTCTGTTCAAAACACTTGGTACACTCACCTGTCATATGTCAGAGGGATTCAGAAACTGACAGGTATGTGAAAAAAAAGTCACTGGTCATGTGAAAATGAAAACATAAGTTTATTTTTCGAATATAAACTTGAAATGTCATTGAATAACATGTCGGCAACTTTCGTATTGTAACAATAATGTTTTTGTGCAAAAACTAAAAACTGCTGATTAACAACAGAACTCATCTAGTTTCTTCATACAACATTAAAAACACAGCACTTCTGATTTGAAATATACACATTTTTATAACTTTTTTAGTGGTTCCAACAAGGTGCTGTTACTCTGTAGACGTACTGCAGTTCAACTGGTCTAGTGCACTTCTCTTTTTTGTCGATGCATTGTTCTCAATATAGTGTAAAGAGATAAGATATCGTTGTTTAGTAGTAAAGTTGTACAAGTGAAATCTTAAAATGCCTTTTTCACCTTTCAACATTTTTAACTAACAAGCAAAGTGGTGTTTCTTCTTTGTGACATTCATAGGTGCCGTCAATTCTAATAATGTCTGTAAACCAACAAGCCTTTGTCATCCGACTCTCTGTACAAGAAAATTCTTAATGCAATGTGTTGTCTACTTTTGACTGAATCTGTGTTTCAAATCTAAGCTAGACGATATGTACTGCAACATTTTGAAAGTTATCTATTAAGTCACCATTGTGAAATTGTTAGACATATTTTGAATTTTTGACTGTTTATATTCATGTTGATGCTTATTACGAATTACAACACAGGCTTCATCTTCAGAGAGTAGTAAACAGCAATCTATTTCCATTTGGTTTTCTATTAAACTAATAAGTAATGGGCTTCTCTAGTGAACAACACGTAGTAAATTGTGGTGCTGAGTCGTTGCTCCCATGGTTTTGATGAGCAACTCATCAACCGTAAGCATATGAGTGAAGTACAAACGCTAACATGCAATGTTTGATTATTTATTGTGTACAAGATATTTAACCAAGCAAACCTGTGAATTATGAAAATGTAGTCGACCAATGCGATTTCACACTCCTCATTATTAAATTCCCGGAAACAATTCATTACTCTAAGTTGTAAATTATGACTGTGCTATTTTTTAACTGATATATTTTACTGTTTTGTTTCTGTCATTGAATAGGCCTACCGCAGCTACAATTTTAATTTGTTCAGATTTAAAATATATTGAAGGAAATCCAAATCACTTGAAAAGAATTTTGATGCATAAATTAGGACATGCTTTTGTAAGTGAAATGATGAGTGATTGAAATGTTTCCTAATTAAAGCATTCTATTTAATATATGTATATATATATATATATATATATATATATATATATATATATATTCTTTATATTCGTAAAAAAATTACACATGACAGAAGCCGATGTTAATTTCTCTGGTTTTTCTTTCATTTAAATTTCCAAATGCTATGAGTTTCAACACTTCAAAATTTCTTCACTTTGATTCTGATATTAACATTATTTTTACAATAAAGTACACTTGAGTGGCATCACTGCTTTATCCAATATTGATTTAGGCTATTCTATATCAAGTGAAATATTTCTACAACTCATCTACTAAATCATTTAAATGTAATAGAGTGGACAATATAAAAAGAATTGATCTCTAATTCAAATCTATAATCTTTGCTGACTAAGAATGTAGAGTTGCGTCTTTATTTACTATCTCTAACATGTTATTAAGTTATGCTTAAAGATAATAATTATATTAACTCACAAATTTCACTTTAATTACACAGGGGTTTGCATATTCCATGTTTCCATACCTACGTCATTCCAATAATGAACCGAGAACAAAACGTAATAATCTAACTCGTGAACCAGACTTACCAGATTCAGCAAATGATGGTTTAAGAGCTGACAGGTAATTTAATCCAACTATCATTGCATTCTGATCATTAAAATCAGTTTAGGACTTTAGAAATAATTACGCGACTGTGATGATATATGTGTCAATGAATAAGTGAAATGTTACTTAAGGATAATGTATGTATAAATCCAGTAACTGAATAACATCTAGTTAAACCACTAAAGTGTTAATTAGCTGTTGAAGACAGACGCGCATCACAATGTATTGGTTCATGGTGCTTTGTCGATTTTTTGGAATTTATTGAATTTGTACATTCTTTTGATTCGTTAAAGGTGTTTTGTGGGGATTAGTTTATATCGATTGGTATAGAAATCAAATGTCAACTCAGTTATTGACCAAAATACTGGAATACCTTTAGACCAATCCTCAGAAGGATTATACAAGTGCACTTTAACGTGTCACGTAATACTACAAGACAGTTGTCTATTGTCATTTATGTCTTATTGAGTAATACTTACATTTCTAATGAAAACTAAAGTTGGTTATATAGACAGACATCGGTTTAGCCTAAATATCGTTTACTGATTGAATATTCACTTTCACTCTAGTAATACCATTAAATATGTGAATCGAACATGGTCAACTGTTTCCGGTGAGCATCAATTCAAACGGATTGGCCTAACTTTGCCCGGTGTATTAGTAAGTCATCATGAAGTGAAAAAAAAACATTAAATAGAATATTATCTTATTGAAAAATAATACCGTTTTTTTCGTAATGCATAACTGATATTTGATAGATCAAACAACTAGAACAACAGGTCTGACGAACGAATATTTGATGGAATGATATTTTCACTCATTAGCCTTAGTTAGAAGCATGTTATCAACGAGACCCAAAGTGATTGATAGTATAATTCGTAATTCTAGTAATCTGACATTAATTTCTCATCTTTGATATTTGAAGCATTGTATGTAACCTGTGAATCATTTCCAAATAATTGGTTTTATATAAAATAAGGAAAATCTGGAGGTAACTGCAAACGAATGTAAACTTAAATTCGTCGTTATCGTTTCAGGACGATAAATAATCTTTATTCAGCCTACATTTAGGAAGCATACTAATCAGCTTTCCTAAAAACAATAAATAAGTACATTGTAAACAGTAGTCATCTTTTACTGTAATTTGGTGTGTTCAGATTCAAAAAGAATGAGTTGTTCGATTCACACTTCTAAACTGTACTTCAACTAGACTGGAGTTGTGAAGGTTGTTGACTTATATTGAAATCATAACCCAATCTAAGGTAAATCACCAAAGACAGGAATTTTCCGGAGTTTCAATGAGCAGCCCTGACTGATGTAGTAAACGTATATCGGCTGTGAGGCAGTTACCCGCCATGGACAAGTGGCTACATCATGAAGTTAGAACTATCGGATGCCAGTTCTAACCTAGATCAATTTGTGATTTCCACGTAAAACCTAGACCTTTGATTCTATCCGAAGATCAACGTTATTACCGAGTGTTAACCCCTACCAGTTGGAAACCAACTATCTGTATATCTATTACTCTGGAATGAACAGTATACTGTCCCGAAGAGTAAGTAGTTAAATTATTCAATAATCGCAGCAAGTGGCTCTTTCCTTTCCTTCTTTTTACTACATGACGTGCTATCTTCTACAAAAAAACTATTGTTAAATTTGAGGATCGTCTGACCTGACACATTCCAACTTCTTCCTCTTCAAAGTCTCTTGAGATAAATTAGTTTCCGGCTCCCACTGCACGCTTGTCTATTTTTTAACAGCCCTGAAGCCTGGAGCCACTCTGGGCACATAATAATTTTCAGGTTTCTACATGAGAAACAAATTAAAGAATTGTTAACCTTTATTTATGAAATATCATTTTGTTGATAATTTTAAGTAACTGCTGAGAACATTAAATTGATTTGATAATCTGCTACGTTTTCTTTCGAACAGAATTTCGCAAGAAGTCATTTTAATTGTAGTGAACTTGATGCTGTTGATCTAGAATCCGATGGAGACATTGAAACACGATTGAATCATTTTGAGCGCCGATTATCCATTGTAAGCCTACAGTAATTCGATTAATGGTTGATGAACTTCAATTTTTAGGGTGAAATAATGTCTTCAAAACTTGATATCATGGCTTCTGTATCTAACTTAACTCTGAACTACTTTAACGAAACTGGGTAAGGTTTAAATAATATTGTTTGGATTCGTATTTTTAATGGTGAAAAAAATTTGTGGCTTAGGTGGATGATTGTGATGAAGTTTCGTTCTCTGAGCTGAATTTTTTGATTGTAGAGATCCTATTGTTCTTCTGAACAACAACAGCAGCACAAACTTCAGACGCAAGTGAATTACTCGAATTTTTTCACGTTTGACTTGTAGTTTGTTCTGTTAACCTCGGTCTTGATATTTTGTAATGCACCTTGAACTAGTCGTTGTCTGCACCTTTATGTTGCTTGTATCCCCCTATCGATCTATTTCTTTATCCTATGTTTGCCTACGACTTTTCTGATTAGTTGATAAAATGGGTCAATGTCGATGTGTTTGTTGATTTTCTGACTGAGCTGAGTGCCAAGCTTCTAAATTTCTCTGCTATTTAACATTGTTTTGATTGAACGAGTGTCTATAGTTGTCCGTAGTAATTGAAGAGGACGTCTACTTTGTTCTATGTTGTGTTGTTCACAATCTGAGCAATTTACTTTGTAGATGATAATCGTCTTTCTCCCTTTATTGTTTTATCCTTTGGTCTACATAAGATCGGTTGAACTAATTATGTTGGATCGCTCGTTACGAATGGTCTCAGTAGTCTTGCTGTAATTTCTGAAATTTCTCTATATATGTTAGAATAATCCATTTATTGGTTCCTGTACTTGATATTACGTTTGTTGATGATTTCACTTGTTATTTCTCGACGAAGCTGCATGAAAGGCCTTTTTTTGGCAGATAGTGAACAGACAATTTCAGTCGTTGTTTGTGCCGTGTGTTTTCACTCTCTTGAACAATGTTTGTAAGCAGTTGATTTGACGAGTTCTTTTGAGTTCAGTGAATCAAAAACATCAAAAACAAACTTCTGGTCAAAGAACTGCACAAATCGGATAACAATCGAAATACAAATACAAACAATAACTAGTTCAAGATGAATAACACACTATCAAGAACGAGGTCAACAGAACTATCTACGAGTCATACGTGGAGAAGTTCCAATACTTCACTTCTTCTATCTGAAGTTCGTGCTGATGATGTTGTTCAGTCGAACAATGAAAGCTCCACAACCAAATCATCCAGCTCAGAGAATGAAACTCTGTCACAATTCGTGTTTTTGCTTATATAAATAAGAATATAAAAATGTCAATAAATACGGACACTCATTAGATGGCATTTTTATGTTCACTCACAAAAAATTATGAATGTAAAATGGATTATTGTCAGCTGCCATAAATAATGTTGATGTTTCTCAGTAGTCTAGTTTGATGTATAAACAAATGAATTCAATGTTGAACGGTATGCATATTTCGGTTTCAGTAGTTTGTGATTTAACATTAGTTTATTTATAATGGTATATATTCTTCAGATTACCATTTGTTTTTATATAAATTCTGCGAATAAATGAGTAACAAAGCTCTTAACACTTGAAACAAACTGATCAATAATATGAATATTGTTACGATGAATTTTAGTATCGTTTTTTTTTCTCTTTTAGATGGTATAATGTAAGTTTTTCTATGGCTGAACAATGGAACTGGGGTCGCAACCAAGGTTGCAACTTTATTTTCAACAGCTGTAGTCAATTCAATCAAATTCAAAATTCGAAGTAAATTTCATTATAATTAATTGATGCTTTTCTTATAGTTTTAATGTTGTTTCAGTTGTTGAACACTGGTTTTAAAGAAAAAATGTTATTTTAATTAAAATTATGTTTCATACGATGGTAAGGCGTTCGCCTACAATGCCGAAGGTCCCGAGTTCAAATCCTGCGAATCCTGCAGGAGTCATGGATGCGCACTGCTGATGAGTCCCATACCAGGACGAAACGGCCGTCCAGTGCTTCCAGGTTTCTAATGGTGGTCTAACAATGATCGACTGATGATTTCAAATGTGTGAAAACTTAATACGTTTAACTATATATCGATTATGCTAATTGGCTAAAAATGTAAACTGAATAATTATTCTCTGATGATAATATTAAATCCACATAGTATATGCATCAATATTATTCATTGGACAAACTGAATTTTTAATCAAATGCAAAATAGTCCATCAAGTCAATGTAATTAACAATTATTTACTCAAACTGATAGCAAAGCAATTTTTAACTGTTCTATGACATGAAATAACAACAACAAAGCATGTTCAGTAAATGATCAAAATTTTATTCTAGTTACATAGACAATATAGATATAGATTACTCTTGAGAGTTTATTATTATTCAACAAAAAACTAATCAACCAGTATAAACGTAGGCATATAATATGTGAACACTGGTTTTTATTTTTTGAAATCTATTGAGAAGAAAATGTCTACTAACTAAAGTGAAACTCTATCTAGTAGATGATTCCGTTGAAAACTACTTTGCATTTTGTTTAGTAGAATTCTTAAGTTTAAATTTGATTAAAATATGAAGAAGAATAAAGTGTTCTAATAACTGTTGGGTAATAACAAGATATTTGAAATTTTTTTTAAATCAATGATGATACTTCAAATCTATATTGTGCAAAAAGTAAACCAATAGTTGAACACTGAAACTCAATTAATCTGAACTATTTGAAGAGTGAACACTTAGTTAGTAATTAGAAACGACAGATTGATGTTTTACATTCAGATAAACAATTGAAGTTGAACAGCACTATGTATAAAATATCATTTGGTCCTATTTAGTCTAGAGATCATTATATATATATATCTTGTAATCACAGAGTTGACAATAAATTCTCTATATTAACTCCGGTTGAGCCTATTGACATAAAAAGAGTAGAGAGTATTTCAGTAAAGTACATTCTACCGGTCAAATACAAATAATCATAACACACATTAATCCGACCAACTACCTCACATTCACACTTGTCAAAATAAATAAAAATAAAAAAATATTTCTCAAGCTACAATCAACAATTTCAAATCTCATCAAATCATTGTCAGATAAAGCCTAATTTTTACTACTTCTCATTAGTTTGTACTTTTGAACCGATTACGTTCATTCGAGTCGACTCCAAGTTCCGTCATGATGAAATTAAATTTCGCCAACCTTTTATGTCAATAATGAAGATTGGCTGTTGATCATGCTGCTTTACCACAAACCATAGCAAGTTAACTGTATAATAAATTACTAGATATTTAAGTGATATGAGTAATTGATACTGACCAATTAGGAATTTGTATGCAAATCAACTGGAAAGTCTGAAAATATTCAACTTAGAACGCTTATTTTCTAATTTTTTTTCCGCAAGTCATCACAGTAAATCTCCTTGGTGTACTGAATTACCCTCGGCAACTTCCAGTGGCCGATGCGCATTACATACGAATGCATATGGGGTATGCAACTTATTGATGCATTCTTCACATCTCAAACCGGAACATCAATATTTTAATAACGTACCTAATATACCACCTGAGCTACAGGGAAATATCGGGGGATTTGACATTTTAGCTGATCACTGTCCATATATTTCGGTAGGTCTTCTTTCAAATGATTATCCAATATGAAAAACAAACAACCATTAGTTGTAATCAAACTATCACCACTGCAAAACTAATTATAGTAATAATATTAATAAATGCTTCCTACATCATATGTTCTTCCATTACAAGTCCTTATCATTGTATCCAAAAGTCAATCAGTTTAGAAAGTCAACAAATCTATAGATTTTTGTTTCAAGCATTAGGAATTCAGAAAGTACAAAAAATATAACATTACAATACTTATTTAAAATATTTTAAGTTTCTCTAACAATGACTATGGAAGATGATTAGTTTTTTGACCTTTTTTGCTAACCTATATGTAGTTTGTGTAGGAAAATATATATAGTAACACATAGCATCATGTTGAGACTACTAATCGGAAAGAAGTTTTGAAACACGACTAACTTTCACAGGATTTTGTTAAATTCCTCTTAAATGTTAGAATCGTCGAAGGGGTGCATTATGAAGAAATGACAATTCATTTAGCTAGATAAAATAATGTCATTCACAAAAACAGAATCTATGCAGATGGGTTTAACTTACTTTTGAGAAAAAATATAAATTTTGTTGGAACAGTGAGAAGATGTAGTTGATATATGAATACAAATATTAAGGCGAGTAGACGTACTTTCTTATGAACAATTCAAAGCGAACATTGATAAAATTCCTAAGGGTGACTAATGTCTCCGATTGAGTAAGGTGAACTCGTAATAGTTCAAACATATCAATTTTTTGATTTCCAATTCATTTATTGAGGAAGGTAACCGCGCTATTAACAACATTAATGCAAAACATTGTTGAAATCAGGTGGCAGATAAAGTAATCACCTTGCTCTGTTTGCCATTATTTGGATCAGTCTTGCAGAACAAGATACTACATTGCTGGTTGTTACGTAATGCATATTTAGAATTTCGCTCTCTTCAAGCTGAAGCAGATAACCTACGAAATACTTTTGTACTTTCTCACTGATTTTCCAGTCCATTTCTGACCTCCTTGATCACCTAGCTCATCTGGAGGATAACGTTAGCAAATCAGTTGTTTTTTAAAGAAGAGGTTATGCTACTCCCGTCACTATCCTTAAAACAAACGAATAATCAATTGTTCGATTAATCTTTTCAGGTATTTGATAATATTCGTGGTACAAACATGAATTCACATTGTGAGGATACTAACAACCGGAAATATCAGAGTAAGTTCAATTTGTGAAAAGTTATTAGATCAATCAAAGTTAACCGGAATAAATCGTTGAATCTTGATGCAATATTATGAAAGTCTTATTGTTCAAATGAAAACTTTAATGTCTGAGATTTGTTAGTTTGCATCAACATAGGATGAAACATTTAGTGATTGTTTCCTAATACTTTAAGGGTCTTTATTTAATATTGGTTAACGAAGAGAAAACTAACTTCAGTTGATACAGTCCATACATCCCATGTTTCTTAAAAAAGGAAGTAATGAATACAACAGAAATATCGAACCATAGTTTTATATGTTACCAGTAAAAGTTAAGATAAAACTATGAGAAATGGATCAGTAGAAAGTAGTGTATTTTTATTGTTTAACAGATATCTCGTTATCTGAATGTTACAGTTTGCACACTGTACAAGATACATGACAAATGAAAAAATCGATTTGAGCCTAATCTATCCAACAAGTTAGTAGTTCCCTTTACAGGTCGATGTTTTCGTACACAAAACTGCCCGGTAGGTATTTACATTAGATATGTCTTCTGGATACGAAATTATGCGTAAAATCAAGTTTAATTAACATTGATTACATAATAATGAATATTTATTAACTGAGAAACCGATATGATACTGAAACCAGTTGTTGTTTTACTAACCAACATATAAATAACTTTTTGAACAGAATATTTAATATTGAATCTTTTTCCTAACCTAATTTACAGACATGTTAAGTGATCTTAACGATCACTATTACGGAAAGTCTTCTCGATGTATTCAATTCGGAAGAACCTACGATTCATCATATTATGATGGCTACAATACAACTAACGCAGGATGTTTTAAAGCAAGTCTACTTTCCCATAAATACAAATATATATTACATGATGAGTGAGAACATTAGGAATTGCTCCAACTGTTGAACTTAATTAGACAATTTCAAAAGTGATTTACAGCATAAAGTGGCGGTAAATTTAAAGATGATGGATAATTTTTAACGTAACAACCACTCCAAAATGCATGACATAAATTTTGATACATCTACTCACAAATGATGAGCCATGATACATTTCGAGTAGATATCATAAATGATTTCGTTAGAATAAGTCTATTGATCAACTATGTTATAAGTGGTGTTGTTAATAGGTGATCAGAAATTTCTGTATTGGTTCACCACTATATACGTGTATTGAATATCAACAATCAGCTTTATTCTCTGCATTGTTTTTATATGTTTGATACAACATTCTATTTCATTTCTAAGATGACAATGCACAAAGGTAAAATATTTACATCAAGATAGGGGATGAAGTTAGACACCATCATTTAAAACAAACATTAACATAATAACTAACATGTATAACAAAACTAAAAGTAATTGCGAAGTAACAATAACACATTCTTAACATTAATTACTTACTTTCGCCTGTTACCCCCAATGGAGCATGGGCCGCTCACCAGTTTTCTCCAACCAACTCTGTCCTGGGCTTCCCTCTCCAGTTCTGTCCAATGTTTGTTCATTCCTCTCATATCTTTCTCTATTTCTTGGCGTAATGTATTCTTTGGCCTTCCTCTTTTCCTTTTGCCTTGAGGGTTCCATGTGAGGGCTTGTCTAGTGACGCAGTTAGGTGCTTTTCGTAGTGTATGTCCTATCCATTTCCACCGCTTCTTCCTCATTTCCTCTTCCATTGGAATGTGACTTGTTCTCTCCCACAGTTCGTTGTTGGTGATGGTGTCTGGCCAACGAATACGAAGTATTTTGCGTAGACAACTGTTAATAAACACTTGTATCTTCTGGATGATGGCTTTGGTAGTTCTCCATGTTTCCGCTCCATACAGTAGAACTGTCTTGACATTTGTATTGAAAATCGTGATTTTGGTTTTGTTTGAAAGTTGTTTGGAGTTCCCGATATTTTTCAACTGTAGAAATGCAGCCCTCGCTTTGCCAATCCGCGCCCTCACATCTGCATCAGATCCACCTTTCTCGTCGATGATGCTGCCCAGATATGTAAAGGTGTTAACGTCCTCCAAGGTATCTCCATCAAGCGTGATTCGGTTGGTGCATGTTGTGTTGCATCGGAGAATTTCGCTTTTTCCTTTATGTATGTTGAGACCTACTGCTGCAGAGGCTGCTGCTACACTGGTCGTCTTCTCTTGCATTTGTTGTTGAGTGTGCGATAGAAGAGCCAGGTCATCTGCGAAGTCCAGATCGTCCAGCTGAGTGCTAACTGTCCAGTTGATACCGTGCTTCCCTCCAGATGTTGACGTCTTCATAATCCAGTCGATGACCAGGAGAAAGAGAAAGGGTGAGAGTAAGCAACCTTGCCTGACACCGGTCTTCACCTCAAAAGAGTCTGTCAGCTGACCTCCGTGTACGATTTTGCAGTTGAATCCATCATAAGAATTCCGTATGATGTTGACTATTTTCTCAGGCACACCGTATTGTCGAAGAAGCCTCCACAGTGTTTTCCTATCCATGCTATCAAATGCTTTCTCGTAGTCGATGAAGTTGATGTAGAGTGGTGAGTTCCATTCAATTGATTGTTCCACAATGATCCGTAATGTAGCAATTTGGTCAGTACATGATCGATCCTTACGAAATCCGGCCTGTTGATCTCGAAGTTGGGCGTCTACGAAGTCCTTCATTCTGTTTAACAATACTCTGTTGAAGACTTTGCCTGGTATTGAAAGAAGAGTGATGCCTCTGTAGTTCTCACACTTGCTCAGGTCGCCTTTCTTCGGTATTTTGATCAGGTATCCTTCTTTCCAATTTGATGGTACTTGTTGCTCATCCCAAATCTTCTTGAAGAGGATGTGAAATATTTTCGCAGTTGCTTCCACATCTGCTTTCATTGCCTCTGCTGGAATGTTGTCTGGTCCTGCTGCTTTGCCGCTCTTGATTTGTCTGATGGCTATACTGATCTCAATCGTAGGTGCGCCAATATTAATTGGGAGGTCCTTGGATGCTGCTTCGATGTTGGGTGAGTTCAGTGGAGCTGGTCGATTCAATAGTTCCTTAAAGTGCTCTACCCACCTATTTCTCTGTTCGTCAGTGTTGCTGATTATTTTCCCTTCCTTGCTTTTCACTGGTCGTTCTGGTTTACGATAGTTTCCGGCCAGCTTCTTTGTTGTTTCGTACAATTGTCTCAAGTTTCCTTCTCTTGCAGCCTTTTCCGCCGTCATTGCTAGATCTTCCACATATTTTCGTTTGTCAGCTCTGATGCTCTTCTTCACTTCCCTGTTTGCTTCTGTATACTCGGCTTGCGCCTTAACTTTCTCTGCTCTTGTTCGGCAGACATTGATAGCTGCCTTCTTGTTCCTCCTTTCTTCAATTTTTTCAAGAGTAACAACAGAGATCCATTCCTTGTGATGGTGCTTCTTGCGACCAAGGACCTCCTGACATGTTGAAGTGATTGCCTCCTTAATCAATTTCCAATTGTACTCCAATGTTGCTTCCTCTCCATTGAGTAGATCCTGAAAGGCCTGGAACCTATTGGTAAGGGCTATCTTGAATTCGTTGAGTTTTACGGTATCCCGAAGAAAGGCCGTATTAAACTTCTGTGATGTTGTCTGCCCCGCTGTCCAGTGCTTCTTTAGCTTCAATCTCATTTTGGCGATCAACAAGTGGTGATCTGAAGCTATATCAGCTCCTCTCTTGGTTCTCACATCCTCCATGGTCCTTCTGAACTTTTTGTTGATACAGATATGGTCAATTTGGTTTTGAGTAGTGTGGTCCGGTGAAATCCATGTGGCTTTGTGAATGCGTTTGTGCGGGAATATTGTGCCACCGATGACCAGTTTGTTGAAGGCACATAGGTTTGCAAATCTCTCATCGTTTTCGTTCCTTTCTCCCAGTCCATGTCGTCCCATGATGTCTTCATATCCAGTGTTGTCCATGCCAACCTTGGCATTCAGATCTCCCATAAGAATCGTCAAATCCTTTGGTGAACATTTCTCGACGATTGCCTGCAGCCTTTCGTAGAATTGATCTTTAACGTCGTCATTGTAGTCATTGGTAGGTGCATAACATTGGATGACGTTCATTGTAATGTCCTGTTTCTTTGTTTTGAAGGATGCTTTGATGATCCTAGGTCCATGAGATTCCCATCCTATCAGTGCCTTTTGTGCATGTTTGGACAGCATCAGTGCAACTCCTTGTGTATGTGAAGCGTTTTCCTCTTCATGACCAGAGTATAACAGCAGTTCCCCTGAAGCAAGTCTCAGTTGTCCTACCTGTGTCCAATGTGTTTCACTGATGCCGAGCACCTCGAGGTTGTATCTTTTCATTTCTGCAACAACTTGAAGTAGTCTTCCAGTCTCCCACAATGTACGAACGTTCCATGTACCTAAAAAAATGGTTGCTCTGGTTGCCAGAAGAGGCATCAGCCCCGTGACTTCCGAGGGAACTCGGCTTTCATCACGAGACGTCATAATTCTTCTTCCAACTCCCAGGGCAGAGTTAAAATGGTTTGAATTATTTTTTCTGGTTAGCGTTTTTTTTGGCAAGTGAGATTTCAACGGAATGGGGCCGCCAACCCCATGTCCAACCCTCCTCCTTTATCCGGGCTTGGGACCGGCAGTAGCCCCTAAGGTTCTACTGGTGGAGTTATTCTTAACATTAAACAACTTAATAAAATACTTAGGGACCAGCAAGTATAATTTCATCGATTGCAAATTACAGTAATGATCATTATTTGAAATAAACTATTCATAGTTCGTCTGAAACACAACAGCTTCAGGTGTTTCTTTACTGCAAAAAATTAAAATACTTGACAGATCAAAAACAAAACAATTGGATTAGATGAACTTCAGACTTATCGTATCAATAAATGATAATTATTTTTCTTCATTTCCAAGGTGAACTGTTCCATAAATTTGAATCACCAAGTGATGTTTAAAGGGAAATGGTATCCATGCCCAACCGAAGGTGGAACTATTCGGATAGATAACCAAACTGTCAGCTATGATTGGTTAGAATGTCCTTCATATAATGTTACGTGTTCGGTGAGTTAAATATTATTCCATATTTTCATTCTTTGTTAAATCGTTATTTTTTTTAAAATTCTAATGAAGTAGAATAAGCTTTTTTTTTATTAATTAAATTTCTCTCAAACTGTATATACTTACATTGGAGTGGTTATGCCTTGGACGTGATTTATTTGGACAGAATCCTCATATTTCCTTGTAATCTAAGTACGTACTCTTCCCAAAGATCAACTTGTGAAATGAATATTTCAAATGTTTGAATGTCATGTTCAATGAATGCTAAATTTGAATGAGTGAAGACACTGTAGGTAAAGTGGTATGTCACGAAAACTAACTTCAAGGTTGACTGATATTGAAAGGATTCGAATGTGACGTATTTACTTATACATTTTTGAAACCGTGAATCTACCACCATTAGAAACCTGGAAGCACTGGACGGCCGTTTCTTCCTGGTATGGGACTCCTCAGCAGTGCGAATCCACGACTCCTGCACCCCGCAGGATTCGAACCCGGGACCTTCGGTATTGTGTGCGAACGCCTAGACAAGGGACCACTGAACTGGTATCTAACGGTGTTAATGTCTAACTTGATCAAATTCACGGAGTTGCGCAACCTCATAAACAGTCTTCGGTAGTTACTGTCTACACCCGAACAGGTTAAACTTCACTGGTCACGTCTTCCCACTAGAACTCGGAGAAGATTCCTCACGAAGATAGTCACTAGTGAGCACAGGTAATTTGCATTACGAGGCTGTGAAGATTGTTAAGTTAAACATTTTTGAAACCATGAATCGATCAATGTTAGACCACCATTAGAAACCTGGAAGCATAAGGACGGCCGTTTCGTCCTTGTATGGGTATCCTCAGCAGTGCGCATCCACGACTCCTGCAATCGATTCATGGTTTCAAAAATGTGTAACTTAACAATCTTCACAACCCCGTAATGTATTTACTTATAACACAATTGTTCTCTATTTTAATTTTCGTCTGCAGAAATACACCTTAATCTCGATTGTTATCTAATGTGCACTCACTTGTGATAGTTTAACTCTGTCCTCCATCACTCAATATTTATGTGTGATTTACATTTTGAGCACATTTAAATGTAGTTCACATTGGATGTCCGAGCGTGAAGAAACATGTCACCATGATAATTAGAACAGTTTTCACGGAAAATCGGATAACATCATGAAATCACTTTACATTGACCAGTTTTCTGGTTCATTATTACATGACAAATAAACAAATTAAGTTCAATCAAGTGAATTGTTCACGCATATTTGACATACCATAGCTGTTCAACTATGAGTTGAATGCCTGTAAGGCACAAAGATTATGCATTTACACCGAAAATGATGCCTTCTCTTGTAGAGAATATATATATAAAAAAATCTTATGGATCACAGATATATTTCGTGTTAATTCTTCCACATTTTTACAGGCATACAAAAGAAAAGAGAGAGTTGCACCACAGAATACAAGGAAAAGGAATTTTAGAAAATGACTGTGTCTCTTGATTAATCGGTAATAAAACTGATTTGGAAACACCAGTCTTAGTTTTTTTCGCCATACATTTGACAACAAGTTTGACTAATTAACATGCACGATAAACAGCGTTTTATTCAATACAAATATTTATACTTCGAAAGCAAATGATATGTCAATGTCAGTAAGAGGGTATGCAATAAGAAACTAAACAGTAAGACTCCTGTCAATGCCATTTCTATTTCTTTGAATAAATGTAGATGAAAAGTAGGTTTCGAGATTATTCTTGTCAGCAGTTCGCTTTTTACCATAGTTATGTTGATTTTATGAACAGAGCATATCGCATTGAACAACTGCTAGTGATCTCTATTTATTGTTATATGTTGTGAGTGAGGAATAGTGAAAAGTATGTAAAAGTTAGGGTGAAACGGTGGAAGGAAAATTGAACTGATGGGCGGTTTGACTGAGATTTCAAGGGCACTTATAGCAAGTAGTATATACAAAATTCAATTTGATTTACAATCAAAATACACAGACTGAAGACTTAACAACAGCTGAACGATGGTTAGTTTTAGTGTTAGTTTTATTACATTATCCATGACGAAGATTTTGACTAACAACTGAAGGTTAACAATACGTTAATTATGCTACTGATTCGCGATATTTCACAGTTTCTAGTAACTGAATTCAAAAACATTGATAGTTATACAAAGATAAATAACAGTTATATCATGATAAAGGGAAAATCATTCTCAAAGCGACTGTTACAAGTCACTATTGTGTTCGGTATCGTTCAAATAAAAATAGCACATCTTCCAGATGTAGTTCGTGATCGAATTTTTTAGTATTGTTCTACATGGTTTAAGTTACGTTTAAACAACAATTAAGCTTACCGTGTAGCAAATTTAATAGAATGTAATGAAAACATTGAACGTTTTGATTACACCAACTTGATCACTTGTATCCATTAACTAGTACAAGAACGATCTGCACACGGTTGTATATGCATAATTTACCAAAGTTCATTCAACAGATCAATTACTGCCTGCTAACAAAGGGATTCTCATTCAAATTCCCATTCGATTTGCATTTTTAAAGCCTTTGAGTTTAAAATATTAGGCTGTTAAATGAAAATGCTTTCTCAGAGGCATCACGCAAACAGTTTGTATGATTGTATTGTATGTTTGCGTTGTATTATTGATGTGCGCACAACACTGAATAATATTCATTGTATCGATCCGTTTCTTTTTTTTGAATGGTGTTTTATTGGTCTTTAATCCACGAAATGCCCACTTATTAAGTGCTTTTTATACCTCATGGAACAGCATCAGTGCAACTCCTTATTTTTAAAGGAACATAACCGGGATAAAACAGAGTCTCCCTAGAAACTAGTCTTATTTGTGTAGTGTGGGTTCAATGTGTTGCACTATCTCAGTGCATTAACAGGTTGTAGCCCTACATTCTGTTGACTTTTTTAAACAAAAACCATCCGACTATCAGGAGAGATTTCATATTGGTTCGAATTATTTGTTCTGGTTAGAGTTCTTTAGCGATTTGGTTTTCTACGGAATCGTGCTGTCATCCAAATGACGAATTTTCCTTCCCTAACCTCGAAACGGCTGCAGGCAGAAACGGTAATAGAATATAATTAAAAAATTGCTCAATATGCGCTTTTCCTCAATATGTTCTGCAGAGAACACAGCGTATATACTACTAACCGTTTTCGCAACACAACTGAATTGTTGTTGGTATGTAAGCTTACAAATACATGTGTTCCATAGTGTATGGTAGTGGAATGCTGTTACGAAGAGAACGCAATCAATGAAATGGAAATATTTATTATTATACACAAATGTAACAGTGACTGTTTCATTGTACTCCTTATGTTTGACTGTACTAAAAACGCTTACTTACGCGCAACTTTCTGTTTGTGTTGCTGCTGTCATTTGTTACATGCTGCTCTTTACGTCGCCCACTTTATTATTGTGAATTTTGTGTTCTTTCAACACAACGAAATCATTAGCAAATATATTCTTTACCCTGGATTCACTTTAACTTACACTGATGGGCTTTTAATTAGTATTTAGTGGTGATCACGGTCAATCTCTGCTTGATTTCCTTTAAAGTATTATGAATGAAACTTCTGAATTGTTTAACCCTAAGTAAACTCAGATCGGAACCCCACTGGATTTACTGCTATTCTCAAGCAAGAATAAGAGAGGAGAATTCGGCATGAGGTTAACAATCCACGTCTGTAGAAAACCCAAAAAATCTTACCAAAAAAACATTTCAAACTATATAAACTCTCGCCTGTCATTTAGAGGGTCTTCATTTAAAACAGTTTTGATATCTCATGATAAAGGCCGAGCGTCTTCAGTAGTCACAAAGTCAATGCCATTGCCGACAACCCGAGCAAGAATCAACAAATGTACATGACCATTTGGACTTCGTAGATAGCCTAGCCAATCTATCTTAATCAATGAGAAAACAATCAGTGTAGTTGCAGACTCTGCAGCATCAGTTCTTAACATAAACGAGGGAACAAGCACGATCCTCCTACACAACATAAAATGAACCAACGAAATCACGCATGACAGAGAAGTTCAGTAGGATATATTAACTAATACATATCTTGCCGGCAAAGAAAGGATCGCATTTTTACTGCTGAACAACTAAAAACAACCATCAACCCACACCGAATTCAGGATTTTTGTCATAAATGTCAAGACGATACAACTGTATGAAGACGAAACCCGAAGAATCACTAACGCTATCTTCTTTTAGAAGAGCTATGACGCTTCGTGATGAAAGCCGAGTTCTTTCGAAAGTCAGGAGGCCAATTTCCCTTCTCACAACCAGAGCGACAATTCTCCTTGGTACATTTACGATCGAACATTGTGGTAGTCTGGGAGACTACTTCCAGTTTCTGCAAAAAGCAAAAAGACACAACTCGAGGTTGCTTGTAATCAGTGAAACGCAATGGACGCAGGTAGGACAAGTCAGACTAGGAATTGCTTTTATACTCCCGTCATGAAGAGGAAAACGCTTCACATACACAAGGAGGTGCACTGGACACAGGATCATTAAAGCATTCTTGAAAACAAAGAAACAGAACATTACAATGAACGTCATCCAATGCCATGCACCTACCAATGACTGCAATGACGACGATAAAGATAAATTTTTCGAAAAGCTGCAGTATGTCGTCGACAGATTCTCATCAAATGATATGACCATTCTGATGGGAGACCTAAAGGCGGAGGCTGGAATGGGCAAAACTTGGTATGAAGACTATGGGACAACGTGGACTATGCGAAAGTAATTAAAATAGTGAGAGATTTGCAAAATTATGTGCCTTCAACAAAATGGTCACTGGCGACACGCATATACAATGTTACATGGATTTCACCGAATCACACTACTCAGAACCAAACAGACCAGATCTGCATCAATAAAAAGTTCAAAAGGTACATTCAGGATTCGAAAGGCAAGACGTGAGCTGATATAGCCTCAGAATACCACTTGCTGCTCGCCAAAATGAAATTGGAACTCAAGATACACTAGATAACGAGGCGGACAACATCACAAAATGTTTGGTGTGGCTTTTCTAAGGGATACTGATAAGCTCAAAGTATTTAGGATAGTACTGGCGACACATGCCAGGCTTTTCACGATCAACACAATGGACAGAAAACGACGATGGATCAAACCTGAGAAGGCATCCACGAGGCAGTCACTTCAAAATTTCAGGAGGTTCTGGACCACAGTAAGTAATCCCACAAGGAATCAATCTCTATCGATACTCTTGAAAAAATTAAATAAAGGAGCAACAATAAGGCGGAAATGAACATCATTCGAACAAGAGCAGAGAAAGTCAAGACACAAGCTGAATACAAAGAGGCAAACAGGAAAGTGAATAACAGCATTAGAGCTGATAAACAAAAATATCTGGAAGATCTAGCAATGACGGCGGAAGACGCTACAAGAGAAGGAGAGGTGAGACAAATGAACGAAACAACCAAGAAGATTGCTGGACATTGTCGTCACCCAGAACAACCAGTGAAAAGTATGGAAGGGAAAGTAATCACTGAAGTAGAGCGAAAACGGCGGGCAGAACAATCAGAGGAACCCTTGAATCAAGCAGCAGCACTGAAACTACTCTCACTCTATTTCTCTCACCGAGGGATCGACTGATTTATGAAGACATCAACATCTGAATCGAAGCATGGTATATAGTTTACATTCAGGATACAGCTGCTTGATCTGGACATCTCAGATGATCTAGCTCTTTTGTCGATAGCTAAAATTAAACCATACCTTCCATTAATTGAATTCTCAGAGTTTCAGCTTTTTTCATGATACTTATCAAATTACCTATAAACGAACACCATGTATTTTACCTATAATCTAAATTTTATTCATTTAAAAATCACTGAACTTTTGTTGAGCGAATTTGCACACGCAACAAGTGCATGAGAAGATAACCAGTGTATCAACAACCGCAGCATTAGTAAAATTCAACATACATATAGGAAAAAGCAAGATTTCCTGATACAACACAACACGCGTCAACCAAATCACACTTGATGAAGATGTCTTGGAGGACGTTGATACCTTTACATATATAGGCAGCATCATCGACAACCAAGGTGGATCCGATGCAGATGTGAGGGCACGGATCGGCAAATCAAGGGTTGCATTTCTACAATCAAAAAACATCTGGGATTCCAAACAAATATCAATCAACACCAAAATCAGGGTTTTCAATACAAATTTCAAGACAGATCTGCTGTATGGGATGGGAACTTGAAGAGCTACGAAAGCCATCATCCAGAAGATACAAGTAATCACTGACAGTTATCGACGCATATTACTTCGGATCCGTTGAAAAAGCACCCAACTACATCACAAGACAATCCCTCACTTGAAACCCTCAAAGTCAAAGGGAAAGGGAAAGGCTGTGAAACACATTGCCCAAAGAGATAGGCAAGATATGATGAGAATGAACAAAAACTCTACGGAAGTGTCTAAGGGAGCCCAGAAGAGAGTAGGTTATAAAATACTGATTGGCGGCCAATGGTTAGCAATGGGTAGGCGATTATGTGGATCAGCGGTATAAACACATGATAAGTATTGTGAGTGGTTGGTGACCAATCTTCATATTTAAGATAATTTTACGGAGAAGGAACTTATAAATACACGATAATGATATGAAAGAAAATAAAAGGAAATCGGGGTACCGAAGGACATGATTGAAATGAAAAGCATGTAAATATTGAAAAAACCCTAAGATAACTGGAAATAACATTTCAAAAATCATGAATCTCCAACGAAAAAATAAACTGATTTCATGAAAAATTTCAAGCATTACAGATTGATGAACCGTGAGACTTAGTTTCGGTTACAGTACACGTTTCATCCACTTCATAACTATGCAGTGTAATATAGTGAAGAGAATTTTTATTGGCAAACATA